CCCCCGCTCCACCCCATCCACCCCACGTCCTCTCGGTCTCCAGGGCCTTGCGCCTTCCGACGCGCACCCAGGTTCTCATCACCAAACGCTGTTGGTAATCGGATGACCCCCCCCCCAAAAAAGGGGGAGAGGTCTCCCTGTGTTTAGTCGGTTCTCTAGGCGCCCAGGGAGCCTCGCCCAAGCCGATGTGGGTCTCTTTATAGGCGCCAAGCCGGCATCTCTCACGTGTGAATTTCCTCCTGATCTTGGGAAGGACGCCGGCTTTTCTTCCCCAGATGCCTGCCATTCTTTAGATTTCTAATCCCGCATCCGCCCACCAGCCAAGCGCGCACCTGGCTTCCATTTGTCTCGAGGTGCGCGCACACCCAAAGGGAGAGGACCGAAGGGTGCAGGCGGGTGGGGGGGCACCGCATCTTGCAGCTCCTTTCAAATCTAGCAGAAAGACGGGTTGCCCAACACGCAGCTGCTCATCTATCCATTGATCCCTCCTTGCCTCCCAAATTCAAGTAATAACTCATGCAGATGGTGGCATCCTGCCTCCTATTGCCTGCACCATACCTTTCCCTCTGCAGTTTTAAACCTCCCCCTGCCCCCGCCACTTCCCACATGTACCTGTTTATTTGGGTCCTGGAGATGCTGCGCTTCTCTCCCTTAATCAGGTTTCCTTCCTCCCTTCTCTCTCTCTCTCTCTTTCTCTCCCCCCTCCCCTCCCTTCCATTCAGTCCATCAGTAATCCCACCCTACCAGTATGATTGATGTTCGGGCAAGCCAACGCCAGCGCTCCTGAGGTGGTGGCCTTATCTCGGCTCAGCCAATGGACGGAAAAGCCGGCATACACCTTGGAATCGAAAGTGACGGCTCCGCGGTTGACTCCGGGGACGAGCGAAAGGCCGCCGAAGGGAGAAGCAGCGGAGGCTGGGAGCGTCGGGAGGGAAGGGGAGAGTGGCCAGGAGAGGGGTGGTGGGAAAGGGGGGAGCGGGAGGAGAGAGGAAAACAGAGGAGGAAGGGGGGGAGGCAAAGGGAAGGGAGGAAGGCAACGTGAAGTGGGAAGAGGACCACGCCTTGGTGATCCCTTCCTGAAAAAGAACCAAAAAAAAGAGAGAGATTTCCTCCCATGGCACAGATTGTGGAACTCCCTGCTACAAGATGTGGTGATTGCATGGATTCTGGGAGTATTAATTTTAAAAAAGCAGTTCCCCAAATTGTGAAAGGATGTTTGACAATGTCTGTCATCTCCAGAATCATGTTGTGAAGCAGCATGCCACCTTTGCTCCAAAACAACAAGGAGGGAAGGTGGGTGTCAGTGACCTTCTGAGAATACAACGCTGTTAATTGTGGACCTTGGGTCTTACCCACTGAGGTTCCCTTACCTTCTCCGAGTGTAATGCATCGGTACCATTTACATACGGAATGCCACCCTGTCCTTTTTCCACACAGTGGCAAAAAAAATCCACATGGATCTGCCGTGAATTTATGTTGGGGAAATTTCTAACTCCACACAGGAGTTAGAAAAGAGAGGAGGGAACCAGCAATCAGTTTTTGTTTGCAGCTTGTTAAGGCAGCTTCCACTGTAGCTGTCCAGCTTTTCAGGAGGCACAGCTACAGCAGAGCTATCTGAAAAAGCTGCAAAGAAGTGCCTATTGACCATTTCCTCCTCTTGTTTGGTCTCCTAGACGACCTAACACAACTTGGTTGCAGTGCTGCCACCAACTCTCTTTTTTTTTTTAAAGAAAGAAATGACATCTTAGGAAAGATCCAAAATCTCTTTGCTTGCTCTCATCCCTATGAATGCTCATGTGCTTCCTCTCTCCCCACCCCACCAGTTACCAGCACCCCCAAAACAGTCTTTTCTGCACCAGTTCAAGTAATCATACTGATGGAATTGATGAGAATGTATTTATGATCCCCCCATGCCGCAAAAAAGGAGAAGCTCCATTAGCAGAGGAAAAGCACTCAGATGTGAGTAAATTTCCAGGTTTTTTCTCATTGACTTATGTGTCATTTAATCAACTGAAAATAATGCAGATTTGACTATCCAGTCCCAGAACATGCCCCATATTATTTGCCAGTGTAGTTGCTTCCTGGAAGGATCATCCATGCCTAGTTAGTCTACCAGGGATTTCTGGGTAAGGCAAAGAGGCAAAATCATGCTGCAACATTGGAGAGACTCTGCCAGTCACTCTTGACAAGTCATGGTGTGATCCATGCTATACGGCAGCTTTCTGCATTCCTGCGTTCAGTGTTCCTCATCCTTAAAATGGCATGAGGACTTAGAGAGTAGCAGCATCAAGAAATGGAACAGGAAATATACATAGGAGGAACAGAGCTAAAGGCATGGAGGAAGTGGGTCCTCACCTTCCTGTTTTGTTTTTAGAAAATTTCTAACAAATATGAAAATGACAGTAAGCTTAAAATCACTGGGGCAGCCCTATACAGCAGCCTTGGAAGGTGTTCCTCCTATTTTTATTTTTGCCACAGGAGAGTTTAAGTACCTGTGAGAGAGAATAAATAAATGAGAGCTCAATGGAACCTCCATCTCCAGGAGCACGATACCTTTGAACACCTGATATAAAAATTGAACAGAGAAAGGCATAATCGTTATGCTTAGCAGAAAAGCTTCCCAGGTGCATCTGCTTGGCCCGTATTGTAGGCAAAGTTGTCTGTCGTATTTTTTTCCCGGGGTGGTGGTTTAAGTTTCATGGTGGTACATTAGCATAATTTGCTCTCTGCTTGTGTGAAAAATCCACCTTCCTCATCTTCCTCTCCATCACCCTCCTGCAAACACTGCAACTGTAGAGAAACTGAAGTGGCAACTACCCTGGGTTTTCAGATCATCATCGTCATCATCGTCATTGTCGTCGTTGTCGTCGTCATAATCATCATCATCATCATCATCATCATCATCATCATCATCATCATCCACGATTCTAACTTACAGTGATACCTCCCAGGGGTTTCTAGCTGGAAAATATTAAGACTTGGTTCACCATTTCCTTCTCCTGTGGACTATGCAGCTTGCCCAAGGCTATGCAGCCTGGCTCTTCTGTCAGAAGGCACAACATGGAAACCAGTTCCCTTCCCAGGTGCTTCCAACCAACTGAGCCATCCATCCAGTTTTTCAGAAAGTAATACCATACGTTTATCCCATGCTTCTAAATGTGGTTGCATTCCACATGCAGAACTCAATGTTAAAAGCAGTTCTGCACCATAGCTTAGTTAAGGATGGTCCCATCATGGCAGATTAGGGGAGAGGAAGCTTCGAGAAGAACCAGTACAGACCCATGAAAGAGGTTCGAGGAAACAGTTAAGCCTCCTATCTGAGAGGATCACTTTGCAGCCATCCAGCAAGCTGCCTCTGTGCAGCTGCTAATTAGTAAAACAGAAGCCAAATCACAGGAGACCCTAATCACCAGTCTCTTGCTTAATATCTTGCTTGGCCCTGAGAGACTCTTCTAAACAATCTGCTGTACACTGTTCAAGATAAAAGAAACTAGGAGTGGGAGAAAGTCAAACCAGTCTTGGCTTGTTTTCGTTTCAAATGGCCTTAGAATGTGTGGGTTCTTCCGCTGCTGATCACGTCTTCAGTGACATTTCTCAGCTCTGGGACCCTTTCAAAGGGCATAAACAATAGCCGGCACCTCTAACAATACCAAGAGCATAATTTTCTCTTTCCCATAGCAGAAGGGTTAGACCATCTGCCTCCTGCCAGATGAGGTGGGGCTGCATCTCCCATCAGGCTTTTACAGTACAGTGGTGCCTCGCTAGACAGTTACCCCGCATGACAGTTTTTTCGCTAGACATTGACTTTTTGTGATCGCTATAGCGATTCGCAATACAGTGATTCCTAAGGGGGAATTTCGCTGGACAATGTTTGGTCCCTGCTTCGCAAACTGATTTTCGCTAGATGACGATTTTGACAGCTCCCTCTGTGCTTGCAAACAGTTTTTTTCGGGACCTAGGCTTCGCAAGACAGCGATTTAAACAGCTGATCAGCGGTTCGCAAAGCGGCTTTCCTATGGCCGATCTTCGCTAGACAATGACGATTCTTCCCCATTGGAATGCATTAAACAGGTTTCAATGCATTCCAATGAGGAAATGCTTTTTGCTAGACAATGATTTCGCTAAACAGTGATTTCAGTGGAACGGATTATCATTGCCTAGCGAGGCACACTGTACAACCAGTGGGGAAGGATCAGGGAGGTCGCAGTCCAACATCTGGAGGAACATACGTTGCTCAGTCCTACTTCAGAGCAACATCACAGGCCTGACTGATTGGGAAGCAGCTGTACAGGGAAGAGTTGGCTGCTTGATTTTGGGTTTGGGGACTCCTTTGGCATTCAAACAACAACATGCCATCAAATCAATTCTTACTTACGGTAACCCTTTTCAGGTAGGGCTTCAGGGTTTTCCAAGTAGATGGAAATCAGGAGTGTTTCTCCATTTTTGTTTTTATGGGGCTGCCCTGAGATTGTGCATATTGCCAAAGAAACACAGGCTGGGGCTTCTCCCAGGAGGCACAATGGGAATTGAACCCCCACCCCCACCCCCCCGATCTGCAGCCAGAGATCTAAACCACTGAGCTTTCCAGCCAGCTCTGCATCCATATGGGCAGGGTGAAATGGAGCATTCCCTTTCAGGTGGTAAAAAGGAGGTTTTTGAGTCCTTCGCCCGTGTACAATCTTTATACAAAGAATAATAATAATAAAGAAGAAGAAAATTAAAACACGGAGGTAGAAAGAGGACAGGGTTGGCCCCTATGCTTTCAAGCCATAGGCTTTTCCTCCAGACTATGTCATGTTTCAAAAAAGTTATATATCACATTTATTTATTTATTCTGCACTGCCTACCCAACTATTTTATTCCACTGTGCATGTAACAAAATGGTTGTGTGTTACAGAAATGAATAATAATAATAATCATGTCATCAAGTCAATTCTGACTTACGTTGACCCTTTTCAGGATTTTCCAGGTAGAGACTACTCAGAAGTGGTTTACAATTCCCTTCCTCTAGGGGGCACCCTGGGACTGTGCAGCTTGCCCAAAGAAACCCAGGCTGGCTTTTCTCCTAGGAGCTTTGTGGGGAATTGAATTCCCAACGTCTGGCTCAGCAGCCAGATACCTAAACCATGGAGCTATTGGGTCAGCTTACACAGATCATGGAAGAAGGAAATCTACTTATCTGTTTCTCAACGGACAATATCATACTTATAAGTAGAGTTTGATTTCGAAGTATAGACCTGCTCCTGGCTGCTTCTGAAATGTAAATATATACCAATTTCCCGTCTCTAATACATGAATATTAAAATTACAGACAGAGGGAAACTCAGAACCGTTCTGATTCCATCACATGTGTGACATGGCTTGCTTATATTTAGGGTACCAGCTGTTAATATGAGATTTGCTTCACACCACATTTTCAGAAATGGCAGCTCCCCATCTGCAGACTTTATTGGAAGTCACAGCATCTTAGACTGTGAAAATGCGCTGTTCACTGTCCTGGTTTCTAAATGGCATAGAATCACCGAATCACCAAATAATGGAGTTGGAAGGGGAATATAAGGCCATCAGAGTCCAACCCCCTGCTCAATACAAGACTCCAAATCAAATTATATCTGACAGAGGGCTGTCCAATTTTCTCTTGAAGGCCTCTGGTGTTGGAGCGCTCACCACCTCCCGAGGTAA